GCCCCCCCCCCCGCCCCGGGTAAAAGAAGAAATGAGGCCTTGTGTATGGGCTATACTTTATTTATTTACTCACTCTTGCTTGGAATGTCTTGTAAGTTTTTTCTTGTTGAAAACTGAACAGTTCAAATAATACAACGTGGCAAATCAGCTCCCCCTTCCCCTCCCTGGGTGTGGTGTTGTCGCTATTTGTTTAGTGACTCTTGTACTAATTCTGTAGTCTGTGTCCTTTGCTACATGCAGCCATTGAAGTTTCTGCTTGGTTAGGGTAGTGGTCAGCTGAATGACTAGAAAGAGATTTCCTTAAATGCACTGAACCCACCCTTTGCTGAGCGACCGTGTGTGTTTGTGCGTGTTCTGGGGCACACCTTCAGCACGCAGAGTCAGCTGTGGCTGACAGACGAGGCCTTCCAGGGTTTTTCCTGGGTATGTGACAGGCTTACCTGTGTGTGTCTGGCCTTGCAGATCCCCAGGAATATGCAGGACTTCCTTTTGTGTGTTGTAGCTGGCCTCTTGTTTTTCCCCAGCTGGTCTTACTGCCTCAGGCATTTGCCATGTTAAACAGTAGCCATTGATTTTTTTTTTTTTTTTTGTGGTAAACGTCTAGAGATAGGGCATTTTTAGAGAGGAAGACCTGAATCAGCTCAATTAAAAACAAGCCCTGAGGATGGTCTTTTTCCAGGGAGGAGCCAGATAGTGATAGTTTTCTGAGGCTGGGGCTTTTGGGAAGCTCCAGTCCTAATGTACTCCCTCCAGTGGTTACCAGGGTGCTGGTTTTCACAGCTGGTTACAAGGCTGTTGCTTTCAAAACTATTGCAGATCTGGGGAGACAGGGGTGGTGAATATTGCACATTTTCTTGCATAAACACTCTCTGAATTGTTGCAAGACTTTGGTTAATTTCCAGAGTTCCAAAAAGTTGATTTTGACAATTTTGCCAGTGTTCTTGTTGTTTCTATGGAGAAACAGGTTTTTGGGAGTCCTTGCTCGGCCATTCTGGAAGTGCTCTTCCCCTTCTTCTCGATACAGGCGATGGCATACTGTGCACACTCCTCTGTGTCTTAGAGATTGCGCCACGTCAGTATCCGAAGTATTTCTTCATTCTTTTTTTTTACACCTGCATCGCATTCGTTCACATGACTATACCTTATTTAACTGCTCCTTTATCAGTGGACGTTTGGGTTGTTTCCAGTCTGTTGCTGTAGTAAATGACTTTGTACATTCATTTTGCATGCTTAGGAATCTATCTGGAGGATGAATTCCTAGAAAAGAAATTGATGGGCGTTGGTAATTTTGATAGATGTTGGTGAGTTTTCCTCCTTAGGGGCTGTACCCTTTAGTTATCCCACCAGCAGTATGTGGAAGTGGGACTGGCTTTGTCTTGACACCCAGGGCTCGGAGGCAGATTCGGTTCGACGTGTAGGTTTGAGATGTGTAATTTTAAGATCCTGGTCCACAAAGGAGATAAGCTTATTTAACCCAGGGGAATATTTAATTGACCTATGGTTTTAATTTTGTGGACTGGTTTATAAACCCTACATGTCTACCCTATTATAGAGAGTTATGTGGACCCCCTACCGTGTGCCAGACACAATGTCTGGGGCTACACAGCTGAAGACAAGATGGTTTTTATTCTCAAGGGACTCAGTTTGGTGGAGGAACCACCTCTAATGTTATGAAATGCTGCTTAGATCTTAGAAAAGAGAGTCGTCAATTTAATGTTCTGAGACTATGTCCTAATGACTAGTGTCTGTTTCTTTTGTTGAAATGTAAGTGTTGGTCAGAAATGTTTGGTCAGTGTGATTTCAGTCCCAGGAACTTGCTGGAAAACCAGAAGTGCTGAATAACGAGCTGCTTCTCACTTTTTGGCTTGATCCTGTCTCAGGAGAGACTGCTCAAAGGGCTGTAGTCCTCTCCTGACAATGTCTAGATTTTATGTAGTTTCTAAGTCAGTCATGCCAAGAGCCAACCCAAGTACTGTACTTAGATTTTTTTTCTTTTCTCCACTGCCCCTCACTTGTTAGTTAGAGGGCCAGGCACCTTCCTTTTGAGATGATATGGTGTCTCTGTAAGGAGTTAACTTACTCTGTCATGGAAAATGGTTCTAGTTCCTGTGAACAAGGGGCAGAAATAATGCTGTTGTTTTCCTGCTGCTGCCAGGCATGTCTGGAAAACCAGCAGTTTCCTTTAGTTGTCTCTTGGCTTATAAAACCGTCTTTTTGTTGCTGTCTGCTTTGGGCAGGTCCGGAATGTAGAAGGCCAGCTTGGGAGAATGTGATTCACTGCAGGCTGCACTGCCTCCAGGTCTGTTTAGCAGAGCAGGAAATGTAACTCTTTGCAAGTAGAGCATTGGTTATTAAGGGATTTGGAGATGGAAAATGGCCCGCTCCGCCCAGAATGACGAGTGTTTTCCTTTATCCCATCAATCTAGGCTGACTTCTCGAATGGCCTTCCTTGAGCCACTTTTCTTCCTCTGGGCAGTGAGCTTACTTTACGATGGGCCCCTGACACGCTTTATAATTTCTCTTCCATTACAAATCAGATACTCTTACTGGAAATTTCTTTTTTTGTCTTCTATATCACAAAGCCACAGGACAAGAGATGAAGATAGCTCAGATTTCGACATCTTGAAATCAAGGTTTATCTCAAATTTTACTGCTGCACACACAAGAAAGTTCTGGCTTTCTGAGCGTGGGTTGTTGGAATTTTCACATTTTGCGCTGCATAGGGAAACAAGAGAATGAAATTATTTATAATGGACTGACCATTTAAGACAGTTATTTCTGCTCTGTCCACCAATCTATTTTACTGTAGAGAAGGAACTGGCACACTTTTCCTGTAAAGGTCCAGATAGTAAATATTTTCACATTTGCTGGCCATATGGCCCTGTCTCATTTGTTCAACTTTGTTGTTGGACCACAAAAACCGGATGGGCGTGGCCATGCTCCAGTAAAACTTAAATAAAAACAGGCATCTGTCTGGATTTGGCCCTCAAACTAGAGAGTTTCCCCTCCCCAACTGGGTCAGTGTCTTCGCTGCTCAGTTGCTTTCCATTATGGGCATTGACAAAAGATTGCTTACAGTTAGACCAATAATTAAAAAAACAAGTTTGGTCCCTTCCAAAGGGGAAGGATTTAAATATCAAGGATTAAGAGAGGCCTCTGGGAAAACCAGTGGCACTGTCAAATATTTAAGAAATGACTTTACGATCTTGCTGCAAAAATTACAACACTGCTGATGAAGGATGTCACCCAGCATGTTAGCATAGAATTTTGTTGAGAAAATTAGAGCAGAATAAATCAGTGTGTGATTCATACTTGGTTCATTCTTAGCATGTAACTGCAGTTGTAATTTAGATTTTAAAAATATCTAGGTTAAAATACATTTTCCTGATTTCTACTTTTACTTTTCCAAGATAAAGCCCCAATCAATCAATCAAAATGTCTTCAAGTAACCTTCTCTGTGAAATGGTGTTCCCATTTTAAGTAGTCTGCCTTTTCCTTGCACTAATTATGCTCAGATAACAAGGGCCTGAGTACCTTGGCTGCTCGTTAGGGGTGGGAAGGAACCGACGCCGAAGGCTGTGTCAGTCCTGTCTGTCTGTGTTTCTGGATCTTGCTTCTTCAGAGAGGTGGTTAGGGCCGTGTCTGGTCAGATCTTCATCTGACATATCCAGGGCTGGGTGGAGGGTTAGATTGGTCATACAAATTGTTCAGACATTTTCTGAGCCAGCTCTACTGTTTTCGTCTGCCCTCCTCAGTCTCCTAATTATATCAGGCCCGATCCCTACACCTCTGGCGTCGGATGCCCCAAAGATTCTTGGAAAGCCACCTGGGAAGAGAGGTGACCCAACAAAGGCCCAGGAGTGGGGCAGCTTTGGCAGCTTGACAGCGATGAGTACAGGCTTAACCCCTCAAAGAAGACTTCCTTCTGTGCTCTCTAGGCTCTGGAAAATACTAGGGTCAGCGGGGTAGAATATGGGGAGTACGACGTCGCACTGACCTGCACTGGAATCGCAGCCTCTCTGTGTCTCCAGCTTCTTGTCTGTACGACGAGGGTCACGGCTCTTCCTAGCTTGCAGAGCTGCTGTTAGGGTGATCTGGCGAGTTAAGGTACCTGAAGAGCTTAGCACAGGGCCCGACGTGCTGTGGGCGCTCAGCAGAAAGCCTGTGTCGAGACCGGGAAGGCTGATTCCCCTCTGCTGTCACTGCTGCCTTCTTTCCCTGGCCTCACTGTCGATATAAGCAGCTCGAAGATCTGCTTCGAAGGTGGGATCTTTTTGTAATAACGCGTGGTGAGATGGGGGCACAGGGTGGCTCAGAGGAGGAGGAAGCTGCCCCGTTGGGTTGTGACGGCTCAGCTCCCCACCTTCCTCTCCCGTTACCGCAGCCCCAACAAGCGAGGCCCGCCGACGTACAATGAGCACATCACCAAGCGCGTGGCCTCCAGCCCGGCGCCCCCCGAAGGCCCCAGCCACCCGCGAGAGCCCGGCACGCCCCACCGCTACCGCGAGGGGCGGACAGAGCTGCGCAGGGACAAGTCTCCGGGCCGCCCCCTGGAGCGGGAGAAGTCCCCCGGCCGGATGCTCAGCACGCGCAGGGAGCGCTCCCCCGGGAGGCTGTTTGAGGACGGCAGCAGGGGCCGGCTGCCCGTGGGAGCTGTAAGGACCCCGCTGTCCCAGGTCAACAAGGTGAGTGAGGCGCCCTCCTCATCCCCGAGGGGCCACTGTTGTAGGGAAGGGGCACCGCTACCGTACTTCGGAGTCTGCGGGACTTAACAAGCTTAGGAAGAGAACGTCTTAAGAAGGGGCTTCCTGCTGCGCAAACGGATAATGTGTGCACCTCAAACCGTAAAAGCTGCAAGGGCTATGGCATTCCCTTTCCGGAGGCCGCCAGCGTGCAGTTTCTAGAGATCCTCTCTGCATACAAACAAATACGGATGTGCAGTCACCTTTCTTAAACACAGGTGATAACATGCTATTCAAAAGGTTCGACGCCTTATTACTTTTTCACACACACACCCCAACAGTTTCTCTGGAAGGCTACACCGAACTGGTGACAGCAATTGCCTTCTAGAACTCCGAACCTTTCAAAATTTTTAAATCACGTGCATGTATTTATTACCTGTGTAATTTTTAGGTTAGCAACTGAGAAGATGGAGGGATGTGCCGCAGACTAGGGGCCCCCCAAGTGCATGGGGAGGCTCCAGAGCATGGTGTCTCCTCAGCAGGCCAGCCGGTTCCAGGAGCCAGTTTTCTGGATCGCACTCTCCTGCTGCCATCTGCAGTTCACTGTTGGCACCCCTGCCGCTACAGGGAGGGGGGAAAAGCCGTTTAAATGCTTTTCCTTATCTCCTCTGATTTATGGATAAAATGGGGTGCGTAACAGTAGAAGTACTTACGTAGCGTTGGGGACTCTGCGGTGAGTTCCGCGAGCTCAGCTCACGGCAGGAAGGCGAGGCCACGTGCTCCTGCACACCCCAGTCTGGGCTTCCTGTTTGCAAAGTGAGCACAGCGATTTCTGACCTCTGATGGCAAAACCCCCTCCTCCTCCTAGGTCTGGGACCAGTCTTCAGTATAAATCTCAGCCAGAAAACCCAACTCCTCTTGAACTGCAGGAAAACACCAACCGCACTATGGAACGCTGCTGAAGGGGACCCCAGTGCCCACAGTGCAGCTGGACCCAGACCCGCCTCAGCACGGACACCCTGCAGCCAGGAGGGGCGTGGGGCTCCTGGGAGCTGCCGGCACCCTCCTGCAGCCTACCCTCTTTGCACTTTGTTACTCTTTCAAAGCATTCATAAACTTTTGTACCTAGCTCTAGCCTGTACCAGTTCATCACAGGAAACCAACCGGGGCTAACTACGACGTGGTTAGAATCCTAATTAATAGCTACTTTAAGATCCTAGGGTTGGTTGGGTTTTTGTTTTCCTGTTTTATTTTTATTTATTTATTTTTTAAAGACAACAGACTTCTTAATAGATTTGAATAGCACCGTATTTCCTGTTGTGGTCATTTGTAGCAGGTCACACAGTCAGGTCTTTACCGCAGAAGAGCCCCTGCCACTGGCTAACCTCCCACACGCTCACCTAGGTCCACTCTCCCTCCAGTCCATCCTCACAGATGGCCCTGTCTTACCCAGGGTGACATCTTAGCCAAATGTTTACCGTTCTCATTGCCTTTGATGGCCTTGACGACTTCCCCGCCCACCAGCTGCGAATGTACGGAGGCCATCAGGCCCGGCTCAGAGGCAGTGACTTGGGGCCAAGGGGCCACGAGGAGCTTTTCCCTCCCTGCCCCTCAGCGTCACCCACGGGCCTGCTGTCTCCACTTTCCATGTAGCTCTGGCCAGGAAAGCATGCAACAGACTTGCTCTGAGCCCGGCACCGATGGGGGTCCAGGAGGGGGCTGGGGGCACTCACCTCCTGTCGTGATGGCGCACTCTCCCCGGGCTGGGAAGAGCGCCCCAGGAGTTCTGCATGGCGGTTCACTGCATGCGCTGCCCCCCGACCTGGCTGCCCCCTTGGGTTGCTCTGCCAATGCACTAGTTCCATCCCACAGCTCCCGCCGAAGCGACACCCTCTGGGACTTGCCAACTCACCGGCCACAAGCTGCAGTCTGTAGCACTGAACAAACAAAAACCAAACGCTCAAGCCTTACGACCAGAGAAGGATTTCAGCAAACCACACCTCACACTTCCACACCTCCCTGCCGACGCCCGCGCGGACAACTCTGCTCACACACAATCCACCAGGTTCTACCCCATGAAAACTGTGACTTCCCAAACGAGCCTCTCCCTAGGGCTAGACTAAGACCAGGAAGTTCGAGAAGGAAGCCGCAGCTCAACTCTCCCATCCCAGCTGGGCGGGGAAGCCCTCCTTAGGTGCCGTGCGGCTCACCCAGTTTCTCCCCGCTCCGGCGGTGCGAGGTTCCTGGCAACCGGTAAAGAACCAACTAGAGGCTTCGCAGTTGGCAAGCTAACTAGCGGCCTTATTTCTGCCTTTAATCTCCCACCAGGCCTCTCTTGCTTCTCCACACCTCAAACCACCAGGGCACATCCTAGGTAAGCTGACAGGTAGACCTGTTCCCACCGCAGCTGGCGAACATGACCGCGTTTTAACCCCCGTGTCCATGGTTCAGCTCACTTTCCAGATTGCAACCTGGCCTGAGTCCCGGCTCCTTCCTGCTCGTCTCTTAACCGAAGTGCTTTCTTGTTTGAAACGCCCACGGCCCTTCCTCCACGTTGTCGCATCCTTGGCCAGTGTCATGCTGTCATGTTCTATGCGTTGCTTCGTCTTTGGGGTCACGCTGCATCCCCTCCCTTCTCCAGGGCAGATCTGACTGAATGTTTGCTGAAGTTTCTGTCTCTTGGTCCACAAGTATTTGGAGAGGTCACTGGAAATTGGTGTTTTAGTCTTGGCACCTCATTTAGGATCTCCACGAGAAATGGGCTTCTTAGCCCTCAAAGTGTGTATCGTGTGTCTCATTTGTGAAATGCTTCCTGCTATAGAACTAGCTCAAAGACTGTACATATTTACAAGAAACTTTATATTCGTAAAAAAAAAAGGAAATTGAATTGGTTTCTACTTTTTTATTGTAAAAGGTGCATTTTTCAACTCTTACTTTTGGTTTCAACGGTGGTAGTTGTGGACAGCCATCTTCACTGGAGTGCGGGGAGCTCCGTGTGACTACGGAGATGCCAGCAGGAAATATCGTAACACGAAACTGCAGTCAAAGCTTACTAGCATAAATAAGATTCTAGGTCCAAAAGTACAGGCTTTTTCTTCATTACCTTTTTTATTCAGAACGAGGAAAAGATCACAAGGAACGGTTCAAGATCCACCTTGAGAGGAATGAACTCTGTTGAACAAATAGTCAAATAAAGCAGTGATCTAAAATGTTTGCCTTAGTGCAAGACCTCTTCTTTTCTTAAGAGAGCCCATAAAAACTCAAAGTATCGCCACTGTCAGCCTAAGCTTGGGAGCGTGGCATTGGGACCGTCCTTCCTTTCAGGGGAGGCTGCTTCTGTGGGTGAGGGGTGGAGAGCCACACAGGGCTTAGAGCAAGCTGCTCTCCTGGAATCAAGAGACCAGCGACGTTCTCTTCCAGAAGTGCGATGTTGTCGAAGTTTGGTCACTCCTTCCAATGAACCATGATGGCTGTTAAGGTCACTTTATAGGACTGCAGAACTGGAAAGCTCCTCACGGCAGTCAGGCCACTTTGAAAGGATTACTGGAGAATGGATTACCCAGCTCTCCTATAATGCAGTTCATAACAAACAAACCAAAAAAACAGGTCACCTTTCAATTCTTCTCATTCATTAGGATAATGCCACCGGTTTTAATGATGTAGATTTCTGGAGGGAGGAATTCGGATCAAGGTAATTTAAAATGTAGATACTTCTCTTTTTAACTAAATGAATTTTTATAGTCTGCAAGGTAAATTTTTCTAAGATGCTTTAGTTTTGTTGGTATAAACTTTGTTGAGCTAGACAAACATTGGTTTCGGCAAATGGTAATTTTCTCATGGTTCCTGTTGCTTTCAATTTTTATTTTCCAATGAAGTAATCTGACCACAGTCAAATTCTGACTTGCAGGGTTGTAGCCGACTTGCCCTGTGACAGGAGTCGTACTTGCGATTCTATTCTGTTCCTCCTTTCTCTTTTACCGCTGGGGATAAATCTGCCAACTCTAAGAAAGAAAGTAGTTTGGAAGATGAACAAGTCAAATGTTGGAACCTTTCTTTCCTTATAAGATTTAGAAAAAGTCACCGAATCCGCTTCAGTTATTGTCCTGAGGATTCCTGGCAGCCACGTAACACTTCAAAAGCATAAGTAAACGTGGTTTGGTTCCGAGAGGAATGTGCCAGAAAGGGTCTCTGGACCCTAAGCAAGGACCTCAAAGAAACAAATTACTCAGCCACACCCTAAACTGAGGCCCAGCCGTCCATGCTGCTATTCCTACCTCTTAAGCACAAAATTAAACAGCACATTTTCTGCTCTTACAACTTAATTTTCCCGAGACTAAAGCAGCAGCTTGCAGAGCAAATTTCATAATTGAAATCAGGATTTGGAGACTTAGGCCCAAAAGGGATGATGTGCTTAACAGGACTGACCATCTAGTTTGTCTTCAGAATTAGGCCTCTTGAACGTGATTTGCTTTAGAAAATATTCATGCAGGTTTAAGTCTAAAGCAATAATGCTAGGCCCACAGGGGTGGGGCCAGCTAAGCTTTTGTTCTCACAATACAACAGACTGGCCTGCTCCAGTGGTTCTAAACTAGGGGTGACTTGGCTCCCTTCCCTTGAGGACACTTGACAATATCTGGAGACATTTTTGGTTGTCACAACTGGTGGTACTACTGGCACCTCATGGGTAGAGGCCAGGGATGCTGCTAAATACCCTACAAGGCACAGGGTGGCCCGCATGCCCACCTTCCACAAAAAGTTACCAGGCCCAAAATGTCAATAGTGCTGAGGCTGAGGAAGCTCGGCCTGTTCCAGTCAGATTTCTTTCTTGGCAGTTTAAATATTGCTCATGATGCCAAAAGCATGGAGACTGTGGCTCTAGGCACAGTGCTTACATGAGAAAATGTTTCATCAGTTTCCTAGTCAAACGTTGGGGCTTTTATCTTCCGAAGCTGGGAGGGCAGAGCAGTGGAAATCTGGAACTGCACAGATGGCTTGGCTTTCTCTTGAGTCTGTCAATGATTAACGGAACTCCTGTTTGCCCTAGAGGGGTTGTTAGAGGTAAAGAAATGACTTTACTGCTATACACAACTCAGCCTGTCCTTTCAGAGAACCACAAAAAGGGAAAATAAAGTTGATCCAGGGTACACACAACTGGAGCTGTCTCTTGTTCTCACTTGCTGTTGAGTCTTGCAGATGAAATGGGTAGAATGCACTCCTGGCAGGTAGAGAAGGCTGGCATCCTCACCCAGGCTCAGGCCCTCTGGCTGTCTTTAGGACAAAAAAAGAGGCAGTTGTGGGAGCTGAGCTCAGTGGCTGATCCCAGAGGCAGGGCACTGGTTCTCCAAGGGTCTGACTCACAGCAGCGGTCACTCTTAGGAGGGCCCTTGTCGATGTTTTTACAATTAGCTGGAATGACTTGTACATACGTTCGTAGCTTACTGTTTTCTCCTGAAGACAATTATAATTGGCATCCCAGGGTAGAAGGCTCTAGCTTCTTTTCTCCACTAATTTGCTGATCAGGTGAGGTGCTAAAAAGCTGGATGGAGGGTTGAGTGGCCCAGAGACTTGGGTCTTCATCAGTGCACTCAAACTGTTTGTAAACACTGGTGGAGGGTCATGTATCAGGAGAATTGAGTTCACGCTCAGAAATGAAATCACGCTCATCTAGAAGTAACTGAGTTAAACAAAATGAAATTTTGCTTTTCCCTAAAATGGTTGAGTCTCTGACCTTAGCCATGCATGGTATCACTTTGATGTTCTGTGTTTTCCCATCTTGGCCCTTGGCATCTTGGAGGTTTCCTAATTGAGCTTACAGTGCTGGCACTTTTTCCTTTTCTGGCCCTTGACTTCCTGTCTGTGGCCATATCCCATTCATGATGTAAAAGCTTTGTGGCTCCCAATGTGAAATGAAAGGAGCCCTAGGAATCATTCCATTTTTCAGGAGAGGAAATTGGGCTAAGAGAGGTCATGTGATTTGCCCAAGGTCACACAGCTAGTCAGGCACTGAACTGGATGACATCCCTAATCTCAGTCCAATGTCCACACTCCGGGACAGCAGATGGTGGGGGGGAATGGCCGACTCTAACATGAAGCCAGGCTTTGACCAGAGGGAAGGAAAAGACCTTGCCTGGGTCCTTTGATCTTTGGTTTCAATATGCTGACATATGGTTGTTTACCTTGCAATACTACTTTACCCTAAAGACCTTACTTTTGGCTCCATAAATTCATTTGTATATACATTTCTGGAGGAAAAAAATATCTTCATTCAAAAGCAATTTCAGTTACACTTTAACCAACCATGTAACCAGTCCTCACCCATAACAGAAAAAGCATTACCTGGGTCATAGGACACCTCAGTGTGGCTTTGCTCCTGTGATTTGGACCAAACAGGGTCTCCTGTTCCATATCCATGAAATAATCTCCATTACTTTTAGCTTCTTGGGTATAGAGACTTTCACCTAGGTCTGTTAGCAGTCTTCTGGACCACGAGGGACTTCCTTTTGTGTTGCTTTTTAAAGAAAATGAAGTCTTTTAGACACACAAACAGCTGTGGAGAATGCTGACACCCATGTCCCAGGGTTCTGTGGTTTTGGCTACATTTCCCCACCCTAGCCGTTACTGCCCTGGGAGTCCCCCGTGGTCCCAGGGCTGCAGAGGACTCTTACTGGGTTTACTGGCTCCAAATTAGTTTTTACACTGGATTTTTGGCTTGGCTTTATCTGAACTTTGTGAGTAGAGCTGATCTGCAGGTGAGATTTTCCAACATGATGTTTCCCCCTGCAGCCTGGGGCTGACGACTCCCTCTGAGCCCTGACTTAGGCCAGCAGCCAGATTCTCTAACTCCTCTTACAGAAAAGGCAGTGCTTTTCTGGGCCAACTCATGAAGCGGGCTTCCTATCCAGGTGAGGGTGTCAAACCCTGGTCCTGGAGGCCTATGACTGGGTCCTACACCCCCACCCCACCCTCTGAGTCTCCACCATGGGGCCAGGGGCCACGCTCACAGCTCACCAACACAGCAACGGTTTCTTCAATTCTGGTACTTCAATATATCCCTTTTATACTTTTGAGCTTAGCTATGTATTTTCAATTATACTTCAAAAATGTTTGATCCACAAAAATAAACTCAAAATGGTTTAAAGACCCATGTAAGACATGACACCGTAAAACTCCTAGAAGAGAACACAGGCGAGACACTCTGACATAAATCACAGCAGTATTTTCACTCTCCCAAGGCAAAAGAAATAAAAGCAAAAATAAACAAATGGGACCTCATTAAACTTAAACTTTTTGCCCAGCAAAGGAAACCATCAGGGCTTCCCTGGTGGTGCAGTGGTTGAGAGTCCGCCTGCCGATGCAGGGGACACCGGTTCGTGCCCCGGTCCGGGAGGATCCCACATGCCGCGGAGCGGCTGGGCCCGTGAGCCATGGCCGCGGAGCCTGCACGTCCGGAGCCTGTGCTCCGCAGCGGGAGAGGCCACAGCAGTGAGAGGCCCGCGTACCGCAAAAAATAAAATAAATAAATTAATTAAAAAAAAAAAAAAAAAGGAAACCATCAACAAAATGAAAAGACAACCTACAAAATGGGAGAAAATATTTGCAAATGATGCAACCAACAAGGGTTAATTTCCAAAATATACAAACAACTCATACAACCCCATACCAAAAAAACAAACCACCCAATCAAAAACTAGGCAGAAGACTTGAACAGACATTTTTTTCAAAGATGACACAAGCAAAGATGCTCAACATCACTAATTATCAGAGAAATGCAAATCCAAACCACAATGAGGTAATACCTCACACAGGTCAGACTGGCTATCATCAAAAAGTCTACAAATAACAAATGCTAGAGAGGGTGTGGAACAAAGGGAACCCTCCTACACGGTTGGTGGGAAGGTAAATTGGTACAGCCACTGTGGAAAACAATATGGAGGCGCCTCAAAAAACTTAAGAATAGAACTACCACATGATCTAGCAATTTCATTCCTGGGTATATATCCAGAAAAAAATGAAAACACTAATTTGAAAAGATACACATACCCCATGTTCACAGCAGCCCTACTTACAATAGCCAGGACATGAAAGCAACCCAGGTGTCCATCAACAGACTGACTTAAGATGTGTTGTGTGTATACACACACACACACAACACACACACACACACACACAGGAATATTACTCAGCCATAAAAATAAATGAAATATTGTCATTTGCAGCACTGTGGATGGACCTAGAAAATATTATGCTTAGTGAAATTAAGTCAGAGAACATAAATACTATATGCTATCACTCATATGTGGAATCTAAAAATAATACAAATGAATGTATACACAAAACAGAAACAGATACAGAAAACAAAATTATGGTTACCAAAGGGGAAAGGGAGGGGAGGGACAAATTAGGGGCACAGGATTAACAGATATAAACTACTATACATAAAATAGATAAGCAACAGGGATTTACTGCATAGTACAGGGAATCATACCCAGTATCTTATAATAACCTACAATGACACACAAGCTACAAAAAAGTGACTCACTATGCTGTAGACCTGAACCTAACACAGTACTGTAAAATCAACTATACTTCAATAATTTTTAAAAAATAGAAAAAAGTTTTGATTCAGTTTTGCATAGAGGATTTTTATATATTTCCTTAGTCTACTTAAATAATCCCTCCAATCCCTAAATATAGGGTTCCCACATCACTTGGGTTTTCAGAGTGAGACGGCTAATTACCCAGCTAGGAATGCTTTCTAAGCTATTCTCCACCTCAAGTAGACCAGATGACCTGAGGGGTTCCCTTTTCTCTTAAATTTATTTACATGTTTCCTGATGCCTGGGAAGAAAAGGCTTATTACTACAGGGACACTGTAACCTTCCATCTTTTTGGTAGAAGGGACAGAGGCCCTTTTAGCTGGTGAGAACAGCTGACTCCAGAACATCCTGGTGTCTTCCAAGAGGGTGTCATGATCCCAGGCTCCCCTGTGGTGAGTGTCAATGAGCAAGCAGCAGCAGGACCTCGGACCGGGGATGCTGCCAACTTGCGCAAGCCAGGGGCCTTCACTGCTGCTTTTCCTCAGCTTCCCCTGTGGTCGAGCGGTTCCATGGGACTCAATTTTACAGCCTCTTAGCGGCCTTCTAATCTGTGTGCAGAATAGGTGGGTTAGGGAAAGGCCCTCAGCCCGGGAGGGAGCCGAGCTGCCCTGTCCACTCACCCCAGAGTGCCACAAGGATGGTACCATTTTCAATGTGTGCCAAGGTGGGAAAAAGACTGAAAAGCACTGCACTGAATAAAGCTCGGGGAGAGCTCCAGTCTCTTCTCCAAATGACTGCATGAAATCAAACCTTCCTCCAAGCGCATGTCTGTTATCTTTACAAAGCTTTATTGAAACCTGTACATCAAGGTGACAGTAATTCAATGTTTTGGAAACAGTAACAAAAAAGGGTATCCCAGACCCAGGTTCACCAAATAAATATAAGACACCAGGGATATGGTTCCTCCGTCTCCCAGCAGGAACACAGCGCAGGACGACAGCTTCCACCGACCTGGGGACAGGAACCTTGCTAACAGGCATGTCGCCGGCATCTCCGTGTGGAGAGGTTCGCTTTGGTCCAAAGGATGTCTTCCTCACACAAATTCAGAAGGCTGCCGCAAGTTCTAATTTCCTTCCAGAATAAGCAACAGCAATTGCTACAGCCTTCTTTGCTAAGGAGGGACCAGAGGTCCCAAGCAAGGTGGCACAGGCTAGGGTAGGGTGCCTCTCCAAAATTTTCGTGCTAACACTGTCACCTCATTACGATTTGAATAAAAAGGTGGACAACCTTCCAGCTAGCAGTGGTCAGTCCACAGGATACTCCAGCTTAACAGAGAAATCCGGCCGTGGTTTTCCAAGTCTGTTCTGAGAACAGATTATTGCTGAGCACAGGTCACATGATCTATAGTCTAATTGGGGTGATTTAAAAATTGCCCTAAGGCCATCTCTGGTTAAAAAAAAATACTTAGTGCACATAAGTGTAAGAAACAATTGTAAAACTTCATCTGGAAATTAGACAAGTTCTAATTTCTATAGAAATTATGCCTCCCTGGAGCAGGGAATGGAAGACGATCTATTGCTCTGAATTCAGAGGACAGGCAGGACCAATACCATACTTGCCGTTAGGTCCACAGCCAGGCCTCAGCAGGGACAAGTCAAGCACACACCCATGATGGGAAATGCTGTGCAGCCTCAGTACCTGCTTCCCGGATTTCCACCAGCAAGGTGGCTCGGGTTCCTTTTTGGCTTAAGAAAAGTCTCCGTGACCAGTTCAGAGGATGTAAATTTAGACCTGCACCGTCCTCTGCACTGTGGTGTGGGGTGCAGACCGTCTGCTCCCCCTCCCCCCTCAGCCTTGATGAGCCCCAAGGCTCACAGCCACCGGGTGCTAAGAGGACTGTTACAGACTGAGGCACTCCAGGAGCTGCTGTGTCTGGACAAACCTTCAAGTAGGAGTAGGGCGGGTATGAAATGTCTTCTAAAGAGCATGAAATGGGGGGCTTCCCTGGTGGCGCAGTGCTTGAGAGTCCGCCTGCCGATGCAGGAGACGCGGGTTCGTGCCCCGTTTCGGGAAGATCCCACATGCCGCGGAGCGGCTGGGCCCGTGAGCCATGGCCACTGAGCCTGCGCGTCCGGAGCCTGTGCTCCGCAAATGGGAGAGGCCACAACAGTGAGAGGCCCGCATAACGCAAGGAAAAAAAAATAAAATAAAATAAAGAGCATGAAATGGGAAATTTACAGTCCATCCTGTCTAGCGAAAAGCATGCACACGTGGAGCCCGGTGGTGCACACTGCCCCCTGGGGCCCAAGGCTGGCCCCAGCTCTTCATATGGGCTTGTATAACAAGGTGGTGACGTATTTTTTCTTGTACCGGTGGGTCGCGCTGAGCACCATCACTCCGTCCTGAGGAAGAGGCGGAAATCACCAAAGGCAGGACTAAGTCAGGAGGCTCAAAGTTTAGGGAGCGTGAGAATCACCAGGAGGCCTGAGTAAAAGCAGGTTCCTGGGCCTCCCTTCAGAATAGAAGCCTAGGGGTCTGGGTCAGGTCCCGGAAGCCGCCCTTCAGGTAAGTATCGATACTGCAGGTAGTGCCGTCGCTAGGGGGCCTCAGAGCACACTTGGAGAAACACAGTAAGTAACAAACACGTCCTTACCTTGATGGAAAGTGCATAGAGGTGGTTCAGCATGACGTGGTTGGGCTCAGGGAGCAAAGCTGGATCACACTGCGGGGGAGCAAAAGCAGACGTGTGCACTTCAGATTTGGAAATCAAGGAGATTCTCCCGTGTTTCATGACACTGGATTTCAGAGGGAAGGAGGCAGGCTCTCAGGCCCCTTTCTTCCTTATCAGGCAGTGAAAGGGCTTGTGCACGATGACTGGGTGGGCGAGGGGTCATGCCTGGTGCTCCAACTAAGGGGCGCTCTCGGGGTCTGCTGGGCGCACTGGTGTGCATCTCTGGCCAGGCTTCATCTAGACTGTGGGCCGTGGCTCTGTCCTCTCTTTGGAGGAGGGGCAGGAAGAAAGCCGTGCAGTGAAGGGGCTTTTAGAAAAGTGGGAAGAAATGATCAATACTCAACGCTCCTGAGCAGTGTGTTGCAAACTCATGTCTCTGAGACTCAGACAGGGAGCCTGAAGAATGCACTGGATGACTGGGGTAGGGGAGAGGCGCTCTTACTGTGTAAGAGCTCACATACAAGGCAATGTTGCCACACCTTCCTATTTTTTCAGAGAAGCCAGAAATCCAGGTTTTTCTTTTTTTTTCCCCCAACGTACACTCCCCAATTTTATAAATGCTAATTCAAAACAGAAAAAGCATCCAGTAAAAGCTGGCTCAGCTGTCAGATGCATGCTTGGGGCGGGGCGGCCCCAAGAACAGCGAGTCCCTGGGGGACACACTGTGACTGCTGCGGGGATGCCTGCACGCGTACACCTCCAGCCCCCTGCTCAGCACACGTGCACCCACTTCTGTGTGGCGTCTAGAGCAGCAGCAGTTACCTGATCACCCTGGCACGTGTGCCTGTTAGGTGGTGGCCTGGACAAGGCTGAAGAACACCTGGACTCCCAAGAATTATGGCTACGCTGCACAGTCCAGAGCCGTGGAACCAGGCAGCTCAGGTCAAACGGGATGGAAAATCAAACGCGGGGAATAATGGGGTGCTCTTCAGGATTCAGCA